CCACCACCCCCAGCAGCTTGCTGTATTTTGGACGTTGGCGCTGCCAGCATCTTCGTACATGTTGGAACACTTCAAGTCATGTTTGTCGTCCTCACTCACACGCTGATTTGACAGTTACAGGTTCTGTGGCCCTGCCCCCAGCAGTGCAGCTAATCTGCCTTCCTGGCCACTGGCTCACAGCAGTCTTGCTTGCCGTTTGGTACCTCCTTCAGCGTCGTGGTGGTTCACTTTCCACTGCGGGACACCCAGAGCTGACTAGTTGAGAGTGCCCCCACGCCACGGTGGCGGCAGTTAGGGCTGGGAGCCGCTTTCCTTGCTTTGCTGTAGCGCCTGTCAGCACTGTCAGGTGTGCCCAGCATTCTCTAGCCCAGACACTGGCCTTGCCAAGGGGGAGACAGAACCCGCTCCTTCCCTGCCCTCGGCTGACTTTACACGGCAGAGTCATGCGGGTGGAGATCGGTGCAGAGGGGGCTGCTAAGGGCAGCGTGATGCAGAAGAGTAGCTGGGGAAGCCCGGTGCAGGGTTAGGGGCGGGTTAGCGATGCCGCGCTGTTCCCGGGGCGGCCAGCTGCTTATTTCAGCGGCTGTCCGCAGACCAAAATCGGATGGGTGACTTGGTGGGAGGTTGCGGCCTGGCTGCTGTAAAACAGTGCAGGAAAACCAGGTCTTGCCCTGGTGTAGCAGCAGGTCGCCATCCGTGCTGAGGCGAAGCCGTCTCCAGAGAAAGTCTGTAGCTGTGCTGTTAGGAGTTGTAGACTTCTGATGAATAACCAGAGTCTCTAACTGACAGGACTGACATGTTTTCCCTTTCCTTCCTGCCAGCGGCCGTTTGCTTGTGACTACCAGGGCTGTGGCAAGGCCTTCGTCAGAGACTACCATCTGAGTCGGCACGTCCTGACTCATACTGGAGAGAAGCCGTTTGTGTGAGTAGAGACCTGGGTTGAGGCCTTTGAGGTGGGCTGTGTGCGAGCTGCTTCCATGTTCGTATGTGAGAGGAGAGTGTGTTTTGACCATGGGAGAGAGGAGGGCTTCAGTGGGTCATTTGTGAATAAATTCAGGAATGAGTTCATCTCAGCTTCTCTGGGGTTTGTGTCCTCTCTTCCCCCTTACAGATATTTAGTAAATGAAAAATCGAGCTGGGAAAACACAGCATGGAAACGCATTAGGTGGAAAGCAGTTCTTTGGAAAATCCTTGGCTTAGCGTGTCAGGGTCTTGTGGACAGTAAGCTGCTGGATAGGAGGTATAAGTGTGGGCTGGGTCCCCATGCACAAGACAACATGGAGGGGGCGGCCACTGCCGTGGGAACACTGGTGTGTCCGTGCCCCTCGCTCTGCCAGCCTCCCTCTCCTTAGCGCCAGGTTGCTGGCTCATTGGCCACTGCTACTTGGGCATCTCTGGGGCTTCTTTGGTTTCACTTGGCCAGTTTTGCTCACAGTCCAAGAGAGAACTCGCCTCTCTCTTTGGTCTTCTGTTCCCCCATTCTTGGCTGGGTAGGTGACACCACTGTCTCTCGTGACCCACAGAAAGATAAGGTGGCTCCCTCTCCATCCCCTGCAGCACAGACGTCATAAGGTCCTTAGCTTATTCCTGGACTTCCACCTACCCTGCAGCTGTCCTGGCGCAGGCCCTCAGGCCTTGTATAGTGCCTGAAGTGTTTTTCTGTGGCCCACATTGGCCCTCTCCCATGTCACCCAGGTGGCTTCCCTTAAAACCACTGGCTTGAGCTCTGTTTATGTGAGCTCCAGGTCCCTAGTGCACCATACAAATGGCTTGTGCCGCTTGGCCCTTTTTTGCTTATTTTTGTCATCAGCTTGACTCAAGGACATGACGTGAGGGTCCAAGCCAGTCCAGGTGACACAGTGAGACCCTGTCTTTAGTAAAAAGAAGTTGTGGCCTAGCTGTGCCGAACTAGCAAACACTTCTACCCTACCCCAAGTGTGCTAGAGTCCTTCCTGCCATGGCCCCTTCTGTGTGGATGGCTGTGTCACGTTTAGAGTCAAGAATGGTAGGGAAATTAGGACAAGAGGCTTGAGTAAGATAGGCTTTTTTTACCCTTCATGATTGGAATATAGAAGTGAAGAGGTGTGTGTGGGGGGGTCCAAGGCAGCTGTAGGCTCTTCATGGACCTGGGTTCCTTCTAACTGGTCTCTCTGCCTTTAGCATCTTGGGGCATCAACCTCATGGTCCTACATGCCTGCTTGAGCCCCAGCTATCACATTAGCATTCCACCTGGCGTGCAGGAGGAAGGGGCAGAGGGGTGCCTCCACTGTGGACAATTTAAGGACCAGATGCCAATATGAGTGGCTTGGAGACGTGTCAGGAAACTGGGTTTTCTGAAGTCTTTTTTTTTTAAATGCAATGTGTAGTGACATTTCATGCAAAATTAAGGGTAACAAATTCTGCATTAGACTAATTAGACTTAAGCATGATTTGAGGCTGAGCAGGCTTGAGGCCTTCAAGCGTGAAACAGCATCACGTTACTTGATGGTCATATGAAGTTGAGCGGCCTGCATGGTATGGCTTCATTCGCACCGTGGGATTTTCTTTCTCAGTCTCCTTCCCTTTTGGTGTTGCTGGGAGTATAACCCAAAGCTGTGCGTGCTAAGCACATGTTGTTCCCCCGAGGTTCTCCCCAGCACAACAGTTTAGAATTTACTGGAGACTATTTTATACTGTTTTTTAGAACAACTCATTATAAAGTAGGAAGATCTATCCATCCTAAAGCTTTTTTCCTTTGGTTTGTTAATTTTGGTTTATACAATTTCTTACAGTTGTACAGCTAATGGTTGTGATCAAAAGTTCAACACCAAATCAAACCTGAAGAAACATTTTGAACGCAAACATGAAAATCAGCAAAAACAATATGTAGTAAGTATGATGACTGTCCACAGTGAGATTTTGTGAATTTTTTTTATACTTCTTATGTTTCTGAAGTTTTCATCATCCAAATTTGCTCTGTCAAATATCAAAATTTAGTTTGGCATTGGCTATCCTAATTATGAAAGTACTAATTTGTAAGTGTTGTGTGCATTAAAGTGTATCGTTGGGCAATACCCTGTGAAAACCTTTTTGCTTTTTGCAGTGTCATTAATCCTTAAAGCTTCCTGAGCTAAAGTACATTTTTTTCTGTAACCATAAGGGTGAGAGTCGCAACTGCATAATCTCCAGAATGGTTTTAGCTTGCGGATTGTTACAAACTGTTGATTTTTTTTTTTTTCTCAAGACTAACAAAGCTTTATTAAACAGTGCAGTGTTGAAGGTTGCCAGAAGGCCTTTAAGAAACACCAGCAGCTGAAAATCCACCAGTGCCAGCACCGCAGGGAGCCGCCGTTCAGGTGGGTGCTCAGTGAGCTTGAGGTTCGGAAGTGAGGGCTCGAGGGCCGGAGCATGTGTTCTGAAACTGCTTCCCAAACAGCCCTTTTCTGCAGATCATGCGCACTGTGTGTGCCTGTGTATGTGGCCTTGGAAAAGTTAAATTTTGATTTTGTTTCTTTAAAGGAAGTATTTAACTTGTTCCAGAATGATGTGTGAGGTTGTTGCAGTTGTGGTCGAGCTTGAAAGGAAGGCTGAAGCACGACTTGAACTACTCGAGTCTGTTCCATTCTCTGGAACGCCGGTATACAGACCCGAGTTGTTCTTCTCCCATAGAACGTAGCAGAAGTGACCAGGCTCAGCCTGCAGTCGGAGGATGTCCTCACCACACGCAAGGGTGGCTGACACCGTGGAGTAGAGCTGGGAGGGCGCTGAGGGATGAGTTCTGCCGCCTCCCACCAGTGGCTCACTGGCAGCTGGGCTGGCGATGCTCTGGCTCACACAGGCTGCCCTCTGCCCTGCAGTCACCGCGGTGACAGTGCTGTCCTGGCTTGTGGGTCTGCAGATAATCTTTATGCTCTGATGCAGCTCAGCCTGTGCTGTACTGGCTTCTTATCACACAACCCCTGTACACCGTGAGACACAGCTCAGAATGGCCTGGGTTAACTACACAAAGTCGGACAACCTCCCAAAGTGTCTGTGTAGCCGTGAAAGCAGACTAATCGTCAGGGTATAAAAATGAAAACAGTATTTCATTTGGTCACATTAGCAAAGAAAGTAATGTGCCTTCTTTCTCTTAAAACGGTTCATTTTGCTGCAGTAATCAAGTAACTTGATTTTCACCTGTGATTAGGTCTACTTTTTAGAGCTTATATTTCTGTGGCTGATTTTGTTGTCAAAAGAGGCAAGACTTTGCTAAAAGAGCCAGGACAGAGTACCATTTACCCTAAACGGAACTTTCTGAAATGGACCGGCTAATACTTCCTGCGTTGCTAACCCAGGTGTGCCCAGGAGGGATGTGGGAAGCCGTTTGCCTCACCCAGCAGACTGAAGCGACACGAGAAGGTCCACAAGGGTAGGTGTGGATGGCCTGTGCGTCTCACACTGGAAACACTGACGGTGGGGGGTGCTTCATTTATTCTGTGTATGTATTTATATTGATTGACAGATTGAGTGGGATTCTTTGACTGCTTGGTGCTCTGCAGTCTGTTCCACAGTCATAAGGGGGATAGGAGATACACAGGCAAGAAGGACGCTGGTCCGCTTCCTCGGCCTTGTTTTCTCTTCCAGAGCAGCCGTGTGGTGTCTGTCCTTCCACTGCTGTCGGTGCTGTGCAGACACAGTGCTGTGTGGCTGAGGCCCAGTGCCTGGTCATGCTGTTTATCTTAGGATTGTTCTGTGCACCTGCCAAGGTTTTGCCGCTTTGTGTTGTCTTAAACCTCTTCTCATACCTGTGCCGTTCTTTCCCCGTTGGCCATTCAGAAGGCTTGGGTCATCTGCGGTGCTCAGACACATGGCATTATGACATCACAAAAACCACTTGATTTCGATTCTGTCAGCTACTTGTGTGTATTGTTCGTTTGCATGGGTGACTTTTGTTATCCCTGCACCAATTTCCCAGGTCCTAGAATTTAGGATTTTTAATTTTTAATAAAAGATTAGTGAAGCTGGGGAATGGTGGCACATACCTGTAATCCCAGCACTTGGGAGGCCGAGGCAGGAGGATCACTGTGAGTTTGAGGCCACCCTGGACTACATGGTGAGTTCAAAGCCAGCCTAAACTACATAGCAAGATTGGAGGGGTAGGGCTGGGGATATAGCTGAGCAGCACAGGGCCTGCCTAGCAAGCATCAAGTTTTGAGTTCGACTCCCAGTACCAAAAAAAAAGGAAGTCACTGAATACATAGCAAGACCCTATCTCAAAAACAAAACAAAACAAAACAAAAAAGATTAGTGAGCAAGAGTGCAGGGCAGGCACATTCGTTCGTTTCTAGTGGGTGAAACGGCCTGGCAGTTGTTTTTTTTTTTTTTTTTTTTGGTTTTTCTCCGGTACCGGGAACCGAACTCACGACCTTGTGCTTGCCAGGCAGGCGCTTTGCCGCTGAGCTAAATCCCCAGCCCCGGCCTGGCAGTTGTATAATCCAGTTGCGGTGCTTTTTGCAGTGTCCTTTCTGGTCAGTGTTTTTCTCTGGGCTCTGCAAGTTTATTTTCTCGCATGGCTATGCCCTACTCCTTCTCTGCTGTATGAACTTAGATGCAAGGCTAGAGCTGGCCCGGGGGCGGGCAGTGCCAATCCTGAGGTTTGGTGTTGTCTGCAGAGGACCAGGGGCCAGGTAACACTTTTGCTGAGGGAAGAAAGAGGTGATCGTTGAGCAGGCAGGGAAAGGGGACATGCACTAAGGGGTAGGGGTGAAGCAGCTGGAGTCCACAGGCCGCCCGCCATCCTTCCCGGACAGCCTGCTGGGGTGAAGCCCTGGCATGAAGCTCACTGGTGGGCAGTTGTGTGGCTTCACAGCACATACACCTTGCGCATTGGCTGTCAGCTCGAGCTCACATCGAGTCCAGCAGAACAGAGTGTTACTGGGAGAGAAGACAAAGATTGTGTAGGCATATAAAGTTCCGTCTAAGTATGATTGGTGTTGACTCTGGATTTTCACAACAGGAAATGCACCATTTTTTTTTTTTCAAACAGGCTATATCTGTCAAAAGGGATGTTCTTTTGTGGCCAAAACATGGACAGAACTTCTGAAACACATGAGAGAAACCCATAAAGGTAAGGCAGGCATAAAAGAATAATCCGAGTATTTGCTGCTGCAGGATTGAGGTAGAGCTTTCGGAGCGAAACAGTGAAGGTGTGTGGTGAAGTAAGGGGTTTCCATTGCCTGTGTCCCCTTGGCTGACTGCCAGGCGGGCAGAGCGGGCCCAGGCCGATGGTGTGCCGTGCGGACTCAGCACAGAAGGCTGCGGAAGGCTGCAGGCGTCCCGGGAGCTCTGATGCTCTGGGAGTGCCGGGAAATGGTGCCCGTCGTGGGGGACCAGGAAGGGTGTGTGAGCAGTGCTTGCATTTTCTTAGCCGTCACCATGCTGAGAAGCTCTACTTGAACTCAGCAGCCACGGAGTTTGGGAGTGATTTAGAATTTTGGAGAACTTTGCAAACCCCTGCAATAGAAATGAGGGCCAGACTTTGCTCAGAAATTTCTGACCTGTATCTAACCATAAGGCCTTGAACAATGAATATGTTACCCACTCAGTGAGTTTTGCCTGTGTGATAATAATTTGGGAAGTGGTTAAATCTGTCTGTCTGCTTCCTCAGAGGAAATAACGTGTGAAGTATGCCAGAAAACATTTAAGCGCAAAGATTACCTTAAGCAGCACATGAAAACTCACGCCCCAGAAAGGGCTGTGTGTCGATGTCCAAGAGAAGGCTGCGGTCGAACCTACACGACTGTGTTCAACCTCCAGAGCCATATTCTCTCCTTCCATGAGGAACAGCGCCCATTCGTATGTGAACACGCCGGCTGTGGCAAAACGTTTGCCATGAAAGTAAGTGCCTCTGCCCGCCCCTGCAGTCCTGCCGCTCCGGGGCGGTGTCCTGCTGAGCAGGGCTGACGTGTCTGCCATTCCTGCTGCAGCCATCATTCACTCACGTCTGCAGGCCGCAGGCCCGCCGAGACCAGCGCTGCTTAAAGTGTACCCTGAGCCAGAGGCATTGGCATCCGCTGGGAAGCCACTGGAAGTGCAGTCTCAGGCTTCCTGAGTCAGGAGCCCCATCCTGGGTAGGCCCAGGACTTGTTTTATCAAGTGCTAGGTGGCCTTGATACGTTATTACTCAGGGTGTGCTGTTGGTGTGGGTGACCTTTGAAATCTGGGAAAAGAATGAGCACAAGAAAATGCAGGACCAGACATTCAGGGGCGCCAGCCTGGGGCTCGGCACAGTTCACAGCGCCAGGGGAAAAGGTGACGTGCAGTGAGGCGGGTAGGCTCACTCAGGAGAGAAAGCAACTGGCGCTCAGTGGCGGCGTTTGTCGTCGTGGTCAGCTGGCACACAAGCAAGCTTCCCACTGTTCAGGAATACTGTTTGGATCGGCTTGTTAAAAGCACCCTCTTCAGCTTGGAAGAGCTCATTTACAACAGGCCTTTCCCTTAGGACAGAACTAAGAGGCTGCAAGTGCTTGGAATGGTACAGATTCCTAACATGGGTCCTTGAGGAGGTAGTGAGAGGCACTAGGTCCAGGGGTTAAGAATTCTTTCCTGGGGTCTCGGGGGAAAGGGGTCCCCACGCTAACAGAGGGAGGCTGATGGTTTATAACTCATGGAGGTTTCGAGTTAACAGACACCAGTGTTGGGGCTTTTAACATGTAACATAGAGTATTTTTCTTCTCCTTCACCCTAGCAAAGTCTCACTAGGCATGCCGTTGTGCACGATCCAGACAAGAAGAAAATGAAGCTCAAAGTAAGTTGAAGCTACTTAGTCCAGCTTTCGTGTGAAGCCCTCGGCGGCGTACAGCTGGGTGCCGGCTGTGTGGAGTACTCGCCCGCTGTACTCCGAGTCCGCTCTGGTGGAGAGTGGCTCTCTGTAAAGGAGAACATGTGCACGGCCTGTGAAAACCCCGATGTCTGGCTTCCTTATTCCCACAGGCAAAACCATCGCGCAGGAAGCGGAGTCTGGCCTCTCACCTCAGTGGATATATCCCTCCCAAAAAGACGCAAGAGCAGGGCTCGTCCTCGGCTGCAAATGGAGAGGTGGAGAGCTGCGCGGAAGACGGAGCGCTCTCCACGGCTGCAGTACTGGCCGTCCGCTAGGGGCACACGGCCTTGGCAAAGGACTGCAGACCAGGGAGAGACAGAGCCTGTTTTTCTTTATTAAAATCATGGGTGTACCACATCTGACTCCCTGCCATTTCCATTCTCTTTGTTCAAAGGGTCTGTTTTCTGGGCTTGAGAGTCCGCGTGTGCCTTCTCTTCTTTCTTGCTCAGATGACGAAGAATGCACGTTAAAGCCGTTCCTCCTTTAACAGCTTGTGGTCTGGACAAGAAGGTAGCTACTCCAGGCATGGTCTGAAGTATCTGATGAAATATTTCCTCCTACGAAAGGGAAACAGTCCAAGATTAATTCACAGTCAGCATCTCCGATGCTTTCTGTTATCAGTGCTTGAGCACGGACAAAAACAGCACCCTGGAACTGCTGCTGATTGAAGTGATTGGTTGATCGAGTCACATGTCTGCGCCCCTGACTGAAGGCTATACAGTCACTCATGTGACTAAACTTGAGTCTGCCCTCTGTCTCAGCTCTGAGAGGCTGCCTCACCCGAGATGACCCTCTTCCAAGAACAAGTGCCAAACACTAGGTTTGGATACTGGCAAAGTATCTTTATCCCCAAAGCAGATCAGTGCAATTCCTATTACTTGAGGTGACTTAAAAAACAAGACACCCTGGACTCCAGAAACTCCTAATTAGCCGGGCTGTGCCCTAGGCCTCGGGTGAAGACCATGTGCTAGGGCTGCCTCTGGGAAGTGGGTGGTAAAGTCAGCCAGCTTAGAAGCAGGACACAGACAGTGAACCTTGGGGATGGTACACTGACACATCCTCCAGCAGACCGTTCAGCCCACAGCCTGCTGTTCATAAGCACTTGAGACAACCTAAAAGTCAAGTTTTCAGTTTCCTATCTAAAGGCTAGACATTCTACAATTTGTAGAATAAGATACAGCTTTTACAATGTCAGTGTTTTTATACAGCAGAATATGCCATAATGGAAGCACCTTGATACAGCATGTTTTATTTTGAAAAATAAATTGAGAAGCAAATCACCACTACTGGGTTGTAGAGTTACCAATCACTTTTCTTTGCTTTTAATTTCTCCAAATTTCCTACAATTGTAGTTTTATATCAAAAAACTGAAAAGCAAGTGTTCGTGCATGGTTTTACTTACTGTTTTATTTTCTGGGTTATCTGCATATTTTGCCTTCTTTATGGTAATTTGAACCTGGTATTTTTTCTCAATCCATTGCTGAATCTGTTTACTCTTTGTCTCCAAGTCATGTTGTCCAATATTTGAGGAGAAAGTCAGTTCCTTTCTCACGGTTGGTCCTGGTTTGAGACAGCAAGAAGGACTCCTTAGGAATCTCCTGAGACTGAATTTCCCCCACCTAGGAATATCTCTGCTTGCCCTGGGGCCCCCCGATGGTCCCCTCACTTTCACAGTCAGAAACCAGTAACTGCTTTATTAAATGAGACAGCTAAGTAGCAATTTTTTACCTGCCTAGCAAGGGTACTTAAAGTCCAACAAGGTTTTTACATCATACACAACAGAGACCTATAAATCAGGAAGAAAAATCATCAAGAAAAAAGGAACTTGAATAGGCAACTGAGGAAAAAAGCTCGAATGGCTGAAGGAAATACATTAAAACAGTAAGTAACGGTTTCCCATCATTAGCATGAAAAAAATCAGTGGGACAGTACCAAGGGTGGGTGAGAATGTACAGGAGCGGATTTCACACACTGCTGATGAGAGCAACTTGACTGGTCTGGTTCACAACCGAGAGGATGCACAAGCATTCATGATAATGGAAAACTGGGAACAAGCCCAGTGTCGTGAAAATGGGTTAACAAATTTGATACAGTCTTACCATGAGATGTCACATGGTAATTATAATAAATTAGCTACAGCTATTATATGTATAATGGATAGATCTTGAAACAATAGTGTGCCATTTATATCTTTTTACACACAAAATCTCCTCTACTGTTTATGAATGTATCTGTGTTGACAGTCACAACATTGACGGGCTCTACACATGGAAGCTATGAGTGTGAGCAGCAACCTCTAGGAGGGGAAGGTGGGACAGCAGAAAGGAGTGGGAGGGATTTCATCTTTTCCCTAATTCTTTATAGCTCTTAAAGTTCAACCATATTAACACTTGTCCTTTTGGAGGATGGGTAGTAAGTATTTATCATACTACTTTTCTTATGTATGCTTTAAGTTTGCAAAACAAAAGTTGTTTTGTTGTGGCTTTTTTTGATGATACTTGGGATTGAATCCAGGACTTTCACACTGAGCTATATCCCGAGGCCCGCCCCCCATTTTTTGAGACAGGGCCTCACAATGTTAACTAAGTTGCCCAGGCTGGGTTTAAACTAGCCATCCTCCTGCTTCATCCTCCTCCCAGAGTGCTGGGATTATGGGTGTGTGCCACCATGGCTGGCAAAAAGTTTTTAACACCACTTTGCTATACCATCGCTCCTATCAGTAGGTCCTGAAGCCTCATTAGAACAAAGTAATTCCTTGAAGACATTAGGCCTCCCAACTTTTCCAGCCTGTTCACTTTTTTTTTTAATGCAACATAGTTTGATGTCCTTAATCGCAGCTGGTTAGTCTCTTCGGAATATTTGTTTTTCACCAACATCCTTGTTACATGTGGCACTGCCAAAGAGGTGGTGGCACTCACCTGTAATCTTGCCCTCTGGGAGGTTAAGGCAGGAGGACTGTAAGTTTGTGTCCAGCCTGGGCAACTTAGCAAGACCCTGCCTCAAAATTAAAAACAAAAGGGCTGTGAATGGAGCTCAGTGTGAAAAGTTCTGGGTTCAATCCCCAGTACCACAAAACAAAGGCTAAGCCAGGTAATGTGCTTCTCTCAAGGTGCACAGCCTCAGGAGAGCTGGGCGGGACCAGTCTCCTGGCTCCTGCTCCAGCACTTTTCCCACTGAGCAGTCTTCTATAATGACCAGCACTTTTTAGGAGCCACGAGAAACAACTTCCCTTAATATCCACTCACAGCTTCCTCAAGGGTTCACTGACAAGTGCCTGGGAAAGTGACTGGCTGAGTACAAAAATGAGCCTTGTAACAAAATACTTGGGCATGACAGGTGCACTAATCTCTCCACAGTACACGCCTGTAATCCTGGCATTCTGGGAGGCTCAGGCCACCAAACCACAAGGGGGAGCCCAGTCTGGACAATTTAGCAAGACCCTGTCTCAAAGTAAAAAATAAACAAAGGCCTGGGGAGGCAGCTCTGTGCAACCGCATACCATGAGAGGCTTGAAACCACCTCTTCTGAATCTCATTTCATTCCACCTACCACATGCCGTGACATTTGGACACAATGCCACAGGACCAGAGGTGCAGAGTTTGTATCATTTTGGTTTGTTTGCCTCGCTTCTCCTTTCACACAGGCTGAAAGGGAGAGATGATGGAAATAGGAGATCAAGGAAAAATGAAAAAAATGAAAGGATGGCAATAAGCGAGAGGCGAGGAAGGAAATGTGCGGGAACGCCGATGAAGCCGTGGGTGTATGACTTCTCCAGTTTCTCATCTCCCGTTGTCATAAGCACTTTGGAACATGCAGAAACTTAAAGCGCTTGTTTGTAACCCTAAAGGGTTCAGGGAGCTGACAGCAAAACACTCACCAGCCTTGGGTTTGGCCTTTTCCTGCTCTCGTAGTCTCAGGCGCTCCTGGTGGATCTGCATCCCCGTCATGAGCTGGTACTCGGGGGGCTCCGCGTTGCTGTTCCTCTGCACCAGCCTCAGGTCTCGCTCGTCCATGAGTCGGATCACATCTGCCCGGTGCATGTTTCCCAAATCATTGCCCTTCTCGTCAAAGACTCGAATAATTCGTGCATGAATTTTCCTTCCAGTGTTAGTCAAAGTTCTATCATTTGTTTTCTTTTTCCTGTCATCCTGGGTGTCTTCAACGGTACTAAAACACTTCGCAGGAATTAGGGAGGCCAGCCTCGGGGCAGAAGCAGCCAGGGATGATGACAGTGCTGGGGCTGTCTTTTGCACCATGTGTTTACTGAAACATCTTCTGATGTAATTATTTTCAGTCTTTATGATTTGCAGTGTTAATCTCTTTAGAAGAAAAACAGCCATCCTAAGACAGCAATGGGAAGTTTGTGAAGGTTCAATCATGTATTCCAGTGGCTGGCTATGTACATGGTAGGGTACACAAGAGGCTATCATCTGCATATGTTATGGAAATGTGTGTGGAGTTTACACCCAGAAGGCAGACTACTGGGTGACCCTGGCCAGACCAGAGCATGGTCATACTGTCCCTAGTAAATGGATTAGAACAAACCAGCATGGTGGTGTTTTGGTTTTCTACTTTTTTCCTTCCCATACTTCCTGTCTCATTGGACTGTTTCCCCCTGGATCCTGTAGTGCTAACTCTAAGAGCAAAGATCATCCTGAGGGCTATTTACGAGGATGCAACTGATTCACACATACCGATTCCTACGCCTCCAATGTAATTAACTGTGAATGATTTATCAGCACATGTGATGGTACGTAAAAGATGAGGACACTATGACAGGAAGGAGAACTCTCACAGGAGGAAGCTGTCCCCTGGAAGAACAGGGGCTGTCAGAAGGAAATACCCTGACATAAATCAAGGTGCCAACCTCAGAACTGATGAAGGTCATTAACCAGGTGAGGCAAGCATTACTAGCAAATGTTAACTAACCATGAGGCATATATGACGACACTACTTTTACTTTATAGTATAAGATTGAATTTTAAACACTTTAAAATTATACTTAGAGGTTTTGATTGCTTCTCTATCATGGTGTGTTTCTCCTTCCATTCACATTTGGTAAAACTTAGAAGCACAGGCTGAAGGAGATGATCCACTCATCTCATCGAGGACAGGCTGAGAAACATTGGAGAATAAGAAATCACATGAAAGTGTGACTTGTGAAACTGACAGAGGACAGGAGGGTGGCTTCAGTGGCACTTCTCAAAGACTATGCCCTGTGCTCCCTGCATGCAAATCCCCCGGGGTATTTAAAACTGGAAATTCCTTCTGACCCAGTTATGACCTCACCAAGCTATATAATCCACCATCCTACTGTTGCTCACTCATGTTGATGAGTGATACAGAACAAATATGGTAAATTGAACAGAAAGTGATAGACGTGCACATTCTCACTTCCCTCCTTAGCCAGCTTGATAACACTTGACACTCAAATTTATAGCTCCAGTTCTAACTCTCCCCTGAACTCCAAGCTTGTAAAGTTAACTGCTTAATCAACAGCTCACTTAGATGAATATCAGTCGTCAAGTCAACACTTCCACAATGCAACTCTTGACTTCAGGATGGCAACACACGCTGCTGGTTGCTCAGGCCAAACAAAGACAACAAGCACATCCTAGACTCTTCTCTTAGTGGTCCTCCAGCAAGTCCTACTGTGCAGCCTGTAGAACATATTAGGACTTGACTCTTCTCTCCACATCCACTGCTCAGAAGCCACCTGGATCACAGGAAGTGTCCTACTGGTCTCCTTGCACCTGCCTTGGGCCCTGGAATTGATCACCACAGTGGTGCACAGTGATCCTTTCAAAATGTGTTGTCACGAGGGGGCATGCAGCATGTCCTGGAGGCCCTCAGTTTGATCCCCAGAACCATAAGGAAAAAATAAATAAATAAAATGTGTTGACTTAGCTATGTGGTTCATTTATATCTGCTCACAGGTCACCCAGGTGGCAAGGGCTTTCCTGACCTCTCACGTTCCCTCATTTTCACATCGACTGCCTGGCCTTTAAAAAAAACAAAACTCCACTGCACTTATCATGGTGATATATTATCCATTTATTTGTACACACATACATGGTCTCCCTTCACTGGAATGCAAATTTCCTGAGAAAATAGATTTATCCATTTTGTTCATGGTTGCGTTTCCCAGAATTGGAACCAAGTACCTGGCTCAATACGCCCCTGTTGAGTGACAGACAGGCCCAGGACACAGCCCCAAAGGCATGGGGGCCTGCCAGCCATTGGCCCCCATACCTACATGCTCACCAGCAAGCTGCATTCTGTACATTTCCTTTTGTTTGTTTTGCGGGGGCAGTTTTTGCCTTCTTTAAAAATGTTTTGTGACACTAGGGATTGAATCTAGGGCCTTCACTGAGAGCCACATCTCCCCTCAACCTTTTTAAAAATTTTGGGACAGAATCTCATTAAGTCACCATTAAGTTGGTCAGGCTAGGCCCAAACTTTTGATCCTCCTGCCTCAGCCTTCTAGAGTGCTGGGATTCCAGGTTTGTATCTGGCTCATTTCTCAGGTCCAATGGCTTTCCTGAAGTTCTGTGACCAGATTTTTCTTCACAGTTAGTGAAATTAGGTAATTTACAGTCATCAGCTAGTTGGGGCTCTAGCTGTAGGTGCTCTAGCATGGGAGTGAATTGGATTTTAAAGAGCTGAGATACTTCCTATTGAATAAAAAGTCAGGTATTTGTTGATGGAGGACACTGCTCTTTTTCAGCTTTCTGTCACTGTAGCAAATACCTGAGCAATTTAAAGGTTTACTTTGAAGCTCGGTGTGGTGGTGCATGCCTATAATCCCAGCATTTAGGAGGCTGAGGCAGGAGGACTGGTGTGAGTTTGAGGCCAGCCTGGAGTGCATAGTGAGACCTTCTCTCAAGAGAAAAAAGGCTTATTTTGGCTCACAGTTTTATTTGAAGATTTCAGTCCATGATCTGCTGGCCCCTTAGTGACCATGGACCGCCACTAGGCCCCATCTCTCAAGGCTTCCTCACCTCCCAATACCATGGACTGGAGGACTGGGGACCTCTGGAGCATGGATATGAAGATCCAAACACACCAGCCCTAAACCAAAAAAAGTAAAAAAAACTTATGTGCTTAGAGATGGCTATTTCCTCATTTATCATCACCAAAATGGCAGCAGCTCCAGTCTCAGATTTTGCTAGTTATTCTCAGCATACCACAGTGCCAGATGCTAGGGACTACGAGGAATTTATAGACTCTGTAAACTTCACATCAAAATCAGTCTCGCTTCCACCCAAGGTCTCCATCAGCAACAAGAACACAGAAGTCATCACATGTAAATTTATGTTACTAAGTACTGACCAATTAGTTAAATGTTAAGTGTCTCTGCCCCCCGCCCATAGCATCAGGGATGAAAGCTACTGTGTCCTGTTTAACAACTCATCAACATAGTAAAATAGAAAATATTTCAAAATGTAGGATATTTAACTTAAAAAAAAAAACTAGACACATGAAAAAAAATGGAGAAGCTGCCTGGGAGGGGTGAGACTGTGCTCCAACTCCCACTGCCACTGCAGGAGCAACTCTGAGTCCTCGAAAACCTAGGGAGTTTTGGTGAGCTGCCTGGGAGGGATGAGACTGTGCACACGGCCGCCATCATGGGAGCAACTCTGACTCCCAGGGAACCTTGGAAGCTTCCAAAAGTGACAAAACAAAGGAGCAAAATGCAATCTCAGACCTCTTGGAAGTAACACACTTGAAATTTCTGAAATGACAGCAACTGAAGTAAAGAAACAACTCCATCAGGCCACAGAAGAAATCAGATCAGAAATAATCTATCAGGTAAAAAAAGAAATGACAACCATAATGAAAGAATCGCTCAGCATATCAAAAGAAGACATAGATAAAAAAAAAGAGGAGCACAGAAAAATGATGGAAATCTTGAATGAACAATATAGGAAAGAATTCAAATGCATGAAACAGATTCAAAGAGATAACAAGGAAATTAAAAATTCCATTGAAAGCTGGCAAAACCTCTTGAATGAAACTGAAGATAGACTGTGAGACCTTGAAGACAGCACTGCAGCTAGCGATCATGAAAAAAAGATCTCTTAAAAATAACAAAAGAACCAGGAAATAACAATTCAACACCTACAACATGAGGCAAAGAAAACAATATAAGACCAATTGGTGTCAACAAAAAAGCAGGAGACAATATGTATGACATAAAAAGACTATTTGCAGAAGTAATAGCAAAAAATTTCCCAAGCATGGGGAAAGAATCTGATACACAGGGAAGAAGAGAGGCATATAGAATTCCAATTAGGCATAAACAAAATAAATCTATACCCAGACACATAATAATCAAGATCCCAGAAATTCAACAAAAGAACAGAATATTAAAAGCTGTTAGAGTAAAGAAATGGATCACCTATGAGGGAAACCCATCAGAATCATGGCAGATTTCTCAACACAAACCATCAAGACCCTGGAGTGAAGTATTTCAGTTCCTGAAAGGAAACAACTACCAACCCAGATTGATGTACCCTGCAAAACTATCTTTCAAAATTAATGGAGATATAAGATACTTCCAGACAAAGAATACCTGAAGAAATTTAAGAGCACCAAGATAACTCTACAAAGAGTACTGAAAGATATTCTAGAAAGAGATAAAAATGGCCACAATTCCAAGAACAACAATTGAAAAAAACCACCAAGAAGGATAAACAATTAAATAGAGGGAGAAAATAGGCAACCAACAGCAGAAAAATAACATGACAAAGATAAGCCAATATGTATCAGTAATAACCATTAATGTAGAAGGCCTCAATTCACCAATCAAAAGAAACAGACAGGTACAGTGGACCAAGAAACAAAATTCCGTATGCTGTATACAAGAAATGCACTTAATTCAAAAGGAAATTCATAGACTGAAAGTCAAAAGATGGAAAACAATACTCCATGTGACAGGAACCCAGAAAAAAGCAAGGGAGCTATTCTGATTGCAGACAATATGAACTTCAAACCAAGAATGATCAAAAAAGATAAAGAAGGTCACTACATACTTGTTAGGGGAAAACTGCAGGAGGCACAGATAACAATCATAAATGTATATGCACCAAATGTAGGAGCATCTAACAATATAAGACAAATTTTAACAGACATGAAAAAAGAAATTAGCAACAACACAATTGTAATGGGGGATTTTAACACCCCATTGTCACAAAGAGATAGATCAACTAGACAAAAAAATCAGCAAAGAAATAACAGAACTAAATCAAATGTGTGAATGAATGGACTTAGTAGACTTTACAGAGTGTTCTACCCAACAACATCAGAACACACATTCTTCTCAGCTCCACAAAGGACAT